GAGGATGTGGCAGTGAGCAATTATCCCAATTGTTCCAACAGTTTTTTGGGGGAAGGGGGAGGTATTTGGGATTTTACTCAGGGTCTCCACATGCACTACATCTCAATCCTCTTGTAAATTGAAGTTTAGAAAACTTTTGAGACAAATCTTAGTCACTAAGTTGCTCGAGCTGGACAAAACTTGGAATTTCCCTGTCTCGGCCTTCTAGATTGCGTACACCACCAGGCTGAGCTCTAAAAGCTTGTTTTAACATGAAAATGTATAGAGGAGATAAAGCCTTAAGCCAACTTAAGAAAGTAGAAATAAGACTTCCACATAAGCCCAGGGTCTTCAAAACAATGGAAACTTAATCAGAGATTGAACTGAAGAAAAAGAAGTATTTCCTTTAAAATAATAAGGTGACAAAGAGGGTGGTTTGCTTTGGTCTGAGATTTGTGGAGCCACATATCTGACTATATAGCAGATCTGTGGTTAAAAGTTCTTGAACTAGATGGCATACACACACACACACACAGTATATATAATGTATATATACAGTATGCAATGTATATATACTGTATATATATATAATATAATACAGTCCATCTGAAATCTTTTAGGAAATGAAAACAATTCTTCCCTAAGATCTCTGTACATTCATTAATCGGAGACTATCAACCTAGGATCACAGTGCAAATCCATCCTTCACGTGCAGACAGACTCACACTGAAATGTCCCACACTGCGCATCTTTTGTTCCCTGTTTTGATCAGAATCACTCTCTGCTGCATGCTGAACGGATCTTGTGCTCTTTCTCGTCATCATGGTATTTCAGTCAGTGCTGGGAATATTGCTGTACGTTTACTTGGACTCTACACAAATGCTAAAAGAAACCGGATGAATACTTTTCTTTGGTGAGTTTGTCTCTTGATATCTAAAGATTCTCCTGCAAGAGAGACATCTACATATCCTTTCTCTGAATCCTTTATGTAAGGCTTTCCTTCCTTCCTTCTGACAGCTATCTTTATTTCAATAACATTTTCTATGAGACATTTTTCAAAGATATGTTTGAAAGTATGTATCAGTCAAACTCATTAGTTGCCCCTTTTTATGTAATTTTATATGAAACTAAAAATAAGTCATTAGGTCTGCTATTATCACCTATGTGGGTTTCATCTATGCACCCCCCCTTGGAAATAGCATCTTTATTCACCAACACAGTCTTCTGACACAGTCTTCTAACAAGAAAGTATTTTCAGTGTATTTATTTAAAGGTTGCATGGTAATATTTTGGGATGGACTCAAAATAATTTTTGCTTTTACTAATTCAAAAATGCAATACATGAAAATGAAACTAAATTGTTAAATTATACTCTTTTTAAAGCTTGTGATTATACAAGATCAACAAAACGTTAACTTATCCAATTTGTCAAATAAATATAAACAGTTAAACTTAAATTCAAATTAATGATATTTAATTTAATCATACTACCAAACATTACACAAGGCATACCAATAATAAAGAGGAATTGTTCCTCTTAAATTGAAATCTAGCTGGGAATTCTGTGTTTTATCTGGGAGCCCTACAAATCGCTGTTATGTGGTCCAGTGTGCATCTTGGCATGTTAAGTAATGATTTTATAATTGCAACTGAAAGATTTTCTTTACAATTTCAAGAAAATTATTACATAGTGCATGTAATCTGCACTTATTTAGCTTACTAATTAAGTCTACAACGACCTGTCTGTATACTAATTTATAAGAGCATTGTGACCCTATGTGCTTTGAAAGCTATTTTTGAACTGTGATTCTTCTTTATCATATCTCTCAATAGAAATTAAGGCAGAATTTCTGTTCAGAATTACTGCACTTTATTTCTCTGAGTAGGAATCTTGTATTTATTATATAATTTTTATCTGATTCTTAAAAGTTAAAATCACATTTTATATTACTAAGTTTGTTGTCTAATTTTTAAAATATTCAGTTACTTCTGTTTCTATTTCCCTATGTCTAACATAGGGAATAATACAATTTTTTCTCATTTACAGTTCCTCTGAGTTTTTATCTAAAGGGGGGGTTATGATAGTATTGGCAATAGATTAGTGTCAATATTCATTTTCAGTGTTTTAAACATTGATTTTTTTGTAACTTAAAAACCAATATTTCAATATGAATCTCGGACCAAAGTTTAAGGACAGCTCATCAAAACTGATTTTAAACTGGTTTTATCATGCATGGTAAGGTAACTTCAGATTTTTGCTATTGACTTTTTAAAAGTCTCCTTTAATATTAACCTTAGCTTTTAAGTTTAGTCAATAAATTTTAGTTTTTAAAGCAGTTTGAAGTTTACAAAAAAAAATTGAGTGGACACACAGAAAGTTCCCTTGAAAATATTCTTCTATTAATAATTCCTTGCATTAGTGTCATACACTTTTTGCAATTGATGAACTATAATCAATATTCTACTTTTAAGTAAAACCCATAGTTTACAATATAATTCACTCTGTGTAGCATGTTCTATAGGATTTTGACAAATTTATAAAGACTTCCAATTGATTTTTTTCTTCCTTATCCTGAACTATCTCTGAACCTCTGGTGATTACTGATCCTTTACTGACTCCATAATTTTGCCATTTGCAAAAGGGCAGATAGTAGGAATCAAACAGTGTGTGCCCTCTCAGACTAGTTTCTCAGCTCACCAGCATTCATATAAGGTCCCTCCGTGTCTTTTCATGGCTAGATAGCTCATTTATTTCTTAATATCCAATAATAATCCTTCAGAAATGTGGACCACAATTTCTTTCCCACTCACATACTGAGAAACATCCTGTTTGCTGCCAAGTTTGGGCAATTACAAATAAAGTTTCTCTGCAATTCTTTGCAGGATTTTTGTGAACACTTACAGTTTGTTTTGTTTTGTTTTAACCAATAATTTTAGATTTTTTCCTTCTTTTATCAAGATATTGAATTAAGATAAGTAATGACTTTTTATTACATAATAGTTGATGTTTAATTATCTTTGATATTAATTCTCATTGACAGTGTACTTTCAAGTATCTTACTTATTTAATAGATAAAATGTATGATTGAAGCTATAGTAATTTGCATCCATACATGTTATATGAAGTAGTCTCTCAAGAGAATTAAGTCTGTTTCAATCAATTGTTCAAATACTAGAATATTCAGCTCTGAGGATTATTTCTACTAAAGAGTTTAAAATATGAGATAATATCCATTTTTCATATTAGGATAATTGTATACTACATTTCTGGCTTTTGCAAACATAGCTATAATTACCCTCGTATTGTGTTGCTTACTGTCTTCTTCTCCCACTTATTAAAGCTATTTATTTACAACAAATGCTTTGTATGCAAACATTAATCTGCTGTTAACAAAAGTGAAGCCCAACTTTGTAATTAGCTACAGCTGTACATGCTGCTTCCTTTATTCAAAAGTCTTCTTTCATTGTGAAGCTGGTTAGCTCATTTTGTTCTTTGTGGGAACCAATCTTGGATACTAGATAAAGGCCTCATTCTCCATATGCTGCGTTTAAATAAACTATTGCATGTTCTAATTAGAATGAAATTGCAGTTTATACCAATAGCTGCTTTGAAGGATGAGGAGAGAGGAAAAACCTGAAAGGATAGTTGGGTACGCTTTGTACTAAATAAACATACATATTAAATATTAATTAATCATTGAATCACAAAATACTGTATATGTTATGTGTCATTAAACATCGGTTACCAAAATCAAGTGTATCTCTTACATTATAAAATTAAAATATAACCTGATTTTTCCAGTATCGTTTAATCCTGTTCAATTGCTAAGCCCATGACAGAATAGAATACAAAATAGACTGGGCCTTATGGCTACAAAAAAGTTGTTTAATCTCTCTAGCTTTCAATTTCTGAGTTCCCAAACTGGAGATCATGACATCAAATACTTCACCATACTCTAGGGAGGATTAAATGGGTCAGTGTTCATCACACTCTTAGAACATTGACCATACAGAATAAGAGATATGTTAGAGTTAGCTGCAATATTTGTATGTTTCAGTGGATAGAAATTACATTAAAATTTTTTCAATTGTTGATGTTATATAGTCAGGGGATAAAGAAATAATGATATATCTATGAAATATAATGGGTAATAAAGGGGGGAAAGTTGGGCAATAGAGCAAGATATTTTCTTTAAAATCTCTGTTTATAGATGGATAAATTCCTTAGCATGAGAAGATGCCTTATTACTAGTACTGCTTATGATTTTAGTTCATAGCGTACATTAAATTAGAAGTATTTTTGACTACAGAATAGCCTACTTCAAAATTACTATAAATGATTACACAATAACTGATGCTCTTCTTTCCCAAATACCACTGCCGATATGCTCAGAAATGAAAGTTATACAACCTAGTGAAGTCAGGCTGGCTTAATGGTAGTCATAATTTCCTTCTAATGAATCCATTGTCATTCAAAATATGAAATCTCCAAGAGAGGTGCCAACATTTTAGAGCATGGGAAGATAATGTACAGTGGACCCTTCACTTACAAACTCAATCGGTTCCCTAGGGCTGGTTGTAAGCAAATACAGCTGACATCTGGATGTTTACTTGGGTACACACTAACAGATAACAAAAGGCAGATGAATCTTCAATTAACCTAAGTAACCCAAGTTGTTCTTATGTCAGTCCAGTTGTAGCTTGAGGATCTACTGTAATAAAAAATTACTCTAAATGATCAACATGAAAAGATCAATAGTTAGAAATTCAACTTATCAATGGAGTTCATTTGGATTAGATGATGTATTGCAGAAATTAATCTCATAGTAAGACTACTGCTCTTAATTTAAATAGTTCATGGATATATAAATCTCAATAAATTCTTGTGACCTTCCAACAGATTCCTAGAGGCTAAAACTTCATGTAAGGCCAGAAAGTCGACAGTTGAGAGTGTTATGTTTAAAATCAAGGTTGCAAGCTGGGGATTTAGCTCAGTATTGTCCTGTAGGTGAGGCACATACCTGTAATTTTAGCAATCTGCAAGGCTGAGGTAGGTAGCTCAATACTGCAATACCTTGAAAGAAAAAAAAAAAAGCACAGTTACCTCTACATAGAAGGAAAAATTGACAGACCTTTGGGGTAAAGTAGCCAGAGCTTCCAGTACTCACCTCTTCCTGCTGTCTTTTGAGCTCTGTCTCTGACTGTGCCACTTCCTTTCTGTCCTTTAATTGTTACATTTAACGTCCTGTTTGAATGATGCTGAGTGTGTTTTCTGTGCTATTAATCTTGCATCACTCTGGTGCATTATAAAACTCTGACCAGCTGGACAGAATTTCTACTGGCAATTGTGTCTTCCTGTTTTTCCATCTTCCATATCCTCCAGGGCGTAGTTGTGGTGCTCCTGTTCTGCTAAGTTAAGGTAACCATAATTATGTGTGGTATAGAAGTACTATAAATACTTATGTCAGTAATTTTGTGGTTTTCTGATTACTACTCCTCATCATATTCTTGATTCCAGAGTTGAAGTAGCTGTCTCAAATATCTCTCATAATGAATTTTCTTTTATATGTTACTATCCATTTCTATTAATATATTTCTCAAATTTTCATATAGTCACTAATAAATTTTAAATAATGCTTAAATATGTTTATGTTTTAATCATGTAATCATTCTCTAATGCTATAATAGCTCTATTACTTTTTTGCAATAAAGCAAAGAAATAAGAAAAAAATTAAAAATAGTTGAAAGCTCTAATGGTACGGCTAAACTTATACTTGAAAATTTCTACCTACAAATTTCACACAAAACTTGATTGAAATATTTATTTTTTTAATCTAAGAAAATAAAATTTGTTTGGGAGCAATTTGTATACTGTAATAAGAGTACACAGAGGAGGGTTTTTTCAGCTGAATTATAGTTAGAGCTGATGGAGGATAGCTTTTTCAAAATAACCTACTCATGTAGTTGACACAGCAAGAAGAGTTTAGGTGGCATATACCTAACCACCATGAAATTAAAGGTAAAAGTATACCAAAGGGGAAACAAACAAACAAACACCAAGGAATCAGAATTGACAGACATAACTACAAAAGAATCATCATAACAAACTGTAGATGTAAATCAAAAATAAGGCACCAAAAACCATGCCGACAGATGGGAAAGCTTGTAGTATATCAGATGTTCTAAGCATGGCAGGCACCTGAACGGAGCATATGTGAAACAGGATGAAAGTCTCCTGCTTTGATCTTTTAAAACAAGAAGAAGTAGGTCACTGTTGAGCAAGGATGGTATTCACATCTGCTGAAAGTAACTCATGGTTCAAAGTACAATTTCTGCTACAATTCTGGAAAATCTGACTCTTCTTGTGAATACACACTTATAAGATACTCACTGTCTGTATACTACACAGTGTTACACAATGTGATCCTTCCTTTATTCTCCTTCATCTATGAATCTCAGATCTCAGAATCCCATACAGAGCTCTGTTACTAAATGATTTATCATTCCGCATCTACTTGATTAAAACCAAATTCAGGGAAATAATAACAGAAATCTTGTGTTAGCCTGAAAAAAACAAAAGGTACTCCCTCTCTCTCTGCAGAACCTTAAATTAATGTTATGTAGTTTTAACTTTTCACAACAGTTCTAACTTTTCACAGCATTTATCTCAAAACAAATCAAGGTCGGGGGGACATGGATTTAGCTCAGTGGTCCCAGCACCTGCCTTGCAGGTGCAAGGACTTGAGTTCGATCCCAGATACCAAAACAACAACAACAATAACAACAAACAAATCAGGGTTTACCACGTTAAATCTTAATGTAAAATTAACCAACATATTCATAAGAAAATAGAAGCCAATGAGTAGTCATGCTTCAATTTGAGAACCCCCCAAAACAAACAAATTGCATCATACTCTTGCATTTATAGTTTTATAGCTTTTATGAAAAAAGTTATCTTTCTGTCCTATGAATTTAATATACTCATCAGGTTTCGTTTATTTCTCATCTCTACTGAATTTCTAACGTGTCACTCCAAAGGTGAGTCTCAAAATTAGTTTTACATTGGAACTCACGGAAAGCTTAACAAATACTTATTGCTGGGCTTTACTTGACAAAAGTCAGGTAACTAATAGGAGGCATAGGCTGGTATTAAGATATTTAAAAGTTATTCAAATGGTGTTGATGAGCAACCAAGGTTGAAAGTCACTGTTTTCCAGTTTACTTTCCCCATATACAAAGCATTCAAATTTAATTCTATATGTATAAAAAAGACCAACCCTCCAGTTTTTAGCAAAATAAATAACAGCAGTTTGTGAGTTTACAGGTTTAGGTAGGAAGAAGTAGCGAAAAAGAATAGAGCAAAAGGGACAGTTGAGAGAGAAAAAAACATGAAACAAGGCACAATATTTTAAATATGCTATCAAAGATCCTACTAATCAAAATGTTTAAATATAAGACAGAAGTGGATAAAGGTGATTTTTCAGTTGAAATATCAAATAATCAAGGTTAAAATAATCAGTAGGGGACAAGTCAATATTGTGTATAATTCAATACGAGGAAAGCACTGTATCACATTTATGTTTCTCAAGTCATAACAGCAACAGCTGGATCTAGTTATGAAGAAACAGCAGAAGAACCAATTGGCCAGCCATTCTACAAAATCACTAGTCTGGATTTTTTAGAAATAGTACATTTGATAAAATTCAAAGAAAAACTAAAGAACGGTTTTATGTTGAAGAAATCTAGCATTATAAGACACCAGAAGGCAATAAGAGATCCTGGTTAGATTACACTCACATGTGGGGAACAGACAAAAAATAATAATACAAGACAGTATCAGGAATTGTCAAATAACATCATGATACACAAGGGGCTTGAGAAAGAATGACTGGGAATGAGGACTGTACGAGATTATATGAGGTAGATCAGAGAAACCTTTTTAAAGAAGATTTCATTTGAGTTGAGAAAATGTGAAAGTCCAGTTGAATAAATTCCTGGCAAAGGTAATAACAAGTTCAAATCCCCAGAGTGTTAAATGAGCTTTGTTGTCCTTGGAAAAGAGAAAAGAACGATGTGACTGAAGCAAAATGATCAAAGAGTAGTATTGTAGAAGTGAGATCACATAAAAAATTTGGATTTTATGCCAATTACTACAGAAAGCTATTGAAGTGACTTGATCAAAGCCAAAGGGTATTTCTCACTCACATCTTGGTGAAACTGGTGGTTTCTTTTTTCTAGGCCATTTATGAGATGTATGCATCGTTATGATTATTTTATTCTTTTTCTCTTATCTGGATTGTTGGCATTTCCTAAGTGTTCTATCTGAGACCCTCAAATTTTCTTGAAACACACATAGCTCTCCTTTAATAATATTTTTCGTGATTTTATGTAACACTTGTACACACGGGTGAATCCCAGAATCTTTTATGTGTCCCTGACGCATTGTCCAGTATCATCATCTACACAGATTCAGCTCACATCTTCCTCACACAAACTTTCCATCTTCTGTTCCTTGACTTAGTGAAAGACACTACCATCCATTCAGAAATCTTGGAGGTTGCATTGGTTACTCTAGATACTTAAATCAAATTAAGTTTCCTCATTTCGATCACTTTTATACATCTCTTTCCTCTCATCTCACTATAACACAAAAGTTTTGGCCGTCTTTTCATTTTATGTCAATTGATACACTGCAAATACCTTTCTCTGCCTTTCCGGTTGCAAGTTTTAAACTGGGCTCAAATAATCTGTTTTACTTTCTGCTGCCAAAATGAACTTCCAAAAAAATACATTTGATTAGGTCGGACCCATGGTTAAGATGCATATAATTGGGAAATTGGTTTCATTGTGCGACCTTTGCCAGGGTGACTAATACAGTAATAGTAACAATATTATTGTTATTATTTGCGATGTTTTAGCCAATACTTGCCACAGAATAGTACCTGACTTAAAAATTGTATAGACAATAATCCATTTCATTCTCACATTGACTATTAAGAGGTTTGTTTTATTCTTATTTTTACTTTACAGGTGATATAATTCATGAAGAAGGGAGTTGAACAACTTGACCGTATTCATAGGTAATATTATCTATACTGTATCTATGGCAAGCCCCATAACAATATCTTGCTCTCACTTTCCATCTTTTTTTCATGAAGTTACTATAGCAATGCCATCCTTTTCACCCTTCATAGCTAGACCTCATTTTTCATTCAGCAGATCAAAGTCTGTTTTGTCTAATCTAGAAAATCTCCCATTGATGTTCAGTGTCTATTAGTGCCTCAGAAGTCTGTGTCTCCTTTTATTAAAGTAGTAAATGGCCTCAGCATCATCAAATGTTTTGTTTATGTTACCTTCAATATTAAGACTTCCTTGGGGATGAATATATTTTTCATTTATATATCCAGTGCCTCTGATAGTGATTGTTAGATAATGTATCATTTTAATAAATGATAAATAATAAATACTACCATCTTACATTATTGTTTCTTTTCATCTCATTTTCTTGTAGGTAAGGCAGTCTGTAAAAATAAGTACATAGTGGAAAAATTTTGAAAGAGGAAAACCAGAGAGAGAGAGAGAGAGAGAGAAAACAAAGACAGTGAGACAGACAGAGAGACAGAGAAGCTCAGAGAGAGACAGAGAGAAGATAACAAAGTCTCAGAGCGAGAGAGAGAGAGAGAGAGAGAGAGAGAGAGAGAGAGAGAAAACAAAGACAGTGAGACAGACAGAGAGACAGAGAAGCTCAGAGAGAGACAGAGAGAAGATAACAAAGTCTCAGAGCGTAAGAATCTTACCCAGTTGTTCATATACGGGTAAGGATATTTCCTAAGTAACTGGCAGGTAGCACCAAGACACAAGATACCTGGTATTGTGCTTCAGCTCTATAATGTCTCCCCAAATCTCATGTATTTGACAGGTAACTGAACCATGTAGGTACTATACTCTTCAATTGAATCATCTGTTGATGAGTTCAATTGGTGAATATGCTGTTAAGAGATTGGGACCAGCTGGAGGTGGCTCACAGGGGCAATGACTTAGAAAGGTATGTTTTTGTCCCCACTGCCTCTTTTTGTTCTGCTCCCTGGCTGAACAGTGGTACTCTGCTATGTCCCTCTTCCTTGAAGCTGTGGGTGCCAGGTACTTTGTTCTAGAGACAGGAAAGTGACATCTATACCTGCATAGAGAAAAATGAAGGTCAGAATGCTATCAAGGAGAAAAGGGATACATGAAAAGTGATGAAGGCAAATTTCGATTTTGTCTGGTAGGATGACATGAACTCAACTTTAAAAACTTTAATAACTGTCATCTGTTGTAATAATAGCTAACTTTCCAGGAAATAAAACCAAATGGGCACATCCATCTCGGTACACGGGACTCTTTGGTTGTTGTTCAGTTAAACTGTA